CTATGCTATCGCATACGACTTGCTAATGGTCCAGGACGGACCGAAACGTCGTCGTTTCTCAATCTTCTGACGTGTAGTTTGGTCATCCTATCCTATCCTTTTTGGGGAAGTATATTATTGTCTCGGTGAACTTAGGTGAACTTAAAGCTGGCCTCGGGCCACATTTCCTCAAGTCAGGTCAGCGACACACCTGGAGGCATTAGTCACATGGATGTTTTCTCAATTGGTTGTTTTAAATAATTTCCTGCTTTGCTTCTGGGAAATGAGGCTCTGCACTGAACGACTGAATGGCAGATGCTCGACCAAGCAAGCACAACTTGGTGAGGATACACACACATACCATAGAATTCATACAAGTATCTCAAAATGAAGTGGAAAAACTAATCAAGGGGCTAGGAAGAATAAAGTGGTTGGACCTGATGGAGTTTCACCTTGGGTGCTGCGAGAATGTGCAACTGAGCTGAGCATTCCACTCAATTAATATTCCAGACATTCTTGTGCACAGGAATCTTAGCAGATATATGGAAACAGGCAAACATAGTACCACGTATGAAAATGGTAGTCAAGAGGAACCTCCAAATTATAGATCCGTATCAGTAATAAGTATGGAAGTCAAAACACTAGAAAAAATAGTTAGTCAAATGGTTTGAACACCTAGAGAGTAATGACATAATAACGGACACTATTTTTTTTATACAGTGATCTTCGAAGATGTAATTGATCTTTGAACAAGAAGATCCTGTGTAACAAATATATTTAGTTTTTATTATAGAACCACAGAGATACTACAGGAAAGAGGTGATTGGGTTGACTGTCTATCTTGACCTAAAAAAGGCTTTTGATAGTCCCACACAAGAGGTTGTTCTAGAAACTAGAACATGCTGGAGGGGTGACAGGGAGACTTCTGACATAGATGAGAAACTGACAAACAGATGAGAGCAGTAATCAGAGACAATGTATCTGACTGGAGGAGTGTCACTAGCGGGGTACCTCAGGGATCAGTTCTTGCACCAGTAATGTTCATCGTCTACATAAACCATCTACCAGAAGGAATACAGAATATGAAAATGTTTTCAGCTGATGCTTAGATACTGGGGAAGATATGAGACGACGACGATTGCAATGCCCTTCAAATTGATTTAGATAAATAAAGTGCTTGGCGCGTCAAGTGGCAAATGGAATTCAATGTGAATAAATGCTATGTTATGGAATGTGGATTTGGAGAAAATAGACCACACACAACTTACAAATTGTGTGGAATGGAATTACAGAGCTCTAATAAAGAACGAGACCTGGGGATGGTTTTGGATAGTAAACTGTCGCCAGAGGAACACATAAAGAACATTGTGAGAGGAGCGTATGCGTCGCTTTCCAACTTCATATTGTACTTGCTTTTGATTATATGGATGGTGAAATAATAAAATTGTTGATTGTTTATGACTTGTGTCATGAACAGTTTGGGAGTCTTTTGTGAAGTCTTCTGTGAGACTTTTTGTGAAGCACATAAATAATCTGAAAAAGATGCAAACGCTTGCTACAAAATGGCTTCCGGAACTGAAAAAACAAGAGTTACGAGGAGAGACTAGAGGCGTTAAACATGCCAAAACTAGAAGACACAAGAAAGAGAGGTGATATGATCACCACTTACGAAATACTAACAGGAATCGACCAAATTCAAAAAGAGGAATTCCGGAAATAAAACTTTACGAACAAGGGGACACAGATTCAGGCTAAGGAAACAAAGGTGAGAAAACAATATTAGAAAGTTTCTTTTGCAAACAGAATGGTAGACGGTTGGAACAAGCTAAGTGAGAAGGTGGTGGAGGCCAAGACCGTCAGTAGTTTCAAAGCGTTATATGACAAAGAGTGCTGGGAAGACGAGACACCTTGAGCGTAGCTCTCATCCTGTAACTACACTTAGGTAATTACACACACACACACACACACACACACACACACACACACACACACACACACACACACACACACACACACACCTAGCCGTATATTGGTACCTGGGAGTTAAACAGCTTTTGCGGGCTGCTTCCTGTGTGTGTACTCACCTAGTTGTGCTTGCGGGGGTTGAGCTTTGTCTCTTTGGTCCCGCCTCTCAACTGTCAATCAACAGGTGTACAGGTTCCTGAGCCTACTGGGCTCTATCATATCTACATTTGAAACTGTGTATGGAGTCAGCCTCCACTACATCACTTCCTAGTGCATTCCATTTACTAACTACTCTGACACTGAACAAATTCTTTCTAATGTCTCTGTGGCTCATTTGGGCACTCAGTTTCCACCTGTGTCCCCTTGTTCGTGTCCCACCCGTGCTGAAGAGTTTGTCTTTGGCCACCCTGTCAATTCCCATGAGAATTTTGTAGGTGGTTATCATGTCTCCCCTTACTCTTCTGTTTTCCAGGGACGTGAGGTTCAGCTCCTTTAGCCTTTCCTCGTAGCTCATACCTCTCAGGTCCGGGACGAGCCTGGTGGCATACCGCTGAGTTTTCTCTAACTTTGTCATGTGTTTAACTAGATATGGACTCCAGGCAGGAGCTGCACATTTCAGGATTGGTCTGACATAAGTGGTATACAGGGACCTGAACGATTCCTTACATAAGTTTCTAATGGCAGTTCTTATGTTGGCCAACCTAGCATATGCCCTTGATGATATCCTTTTGATGTGGGCCTTTGGGGAACAGGTTCGGTGTGATACCAACCCCCAGATCTTTCTCTCTATTTGACTCTTGCAAGATTTCACCTCCCAGATGGTACCTTGTGTTCAGCCTTCTGCTCCCTTCACCTAATTTCATTACTTTACACTTTCCCGAGTTGAACTTCAGCAGCCATTTTCTAGACTATTCCTCCAGTTTGTCCAAGTCATCCTGTAGTCTCTGTCGGTCTTCATCTGTCTTGATTCTTCTCATAATTTTTGCATCATCAGCAAACATCGAGAGGAATGAGTCCATACCCTCTGGAAGATCATTTACATATATTAGAAACAGAATGGGTCCAAGTACAGAGCCCTGTGGGACCCCGCTCGTGACATCTCGCCACTCTGATGTCTCCCCTCTCACAGTTACTCGCTGTTTCCTGTTGCTTAGATACTCCCTTATCCACTGGAGCACCTTACCTTTTACTCCTGCCTGCTGCTCCAACTTTTGTAACAACCTTTTATGGGGTACTGTGTCAAAGGCTTTCTGACAGTCCAAAAAAATGCAGTCTGCCCACCCTTCTCTTTCTTGTCTAATTTTTGTTGCTTGGTCATAGAATTCTATTAAACCTGTGGGGCACGATTTACCATCTCTGGACCCATGTTGGTGTTGTGTTACAAAGCTATTTCCCTCCAGATGCTCTACGAGCCTTTTCCTCATGATCTTCTCCATCACCTTGTATGGTATGCAAGTTAGGGAAACTGGCCTGTAGTTCAGTACCTCTTGCCTGTCACCCTTTTTGTATATTGGGACTGCATTAGCTGTCTTCTAACTTTCCGGTAGGTCTCCTGTTTCCAGTGACCTGTTATACACCATAGAGTGTGGCACACTTAGTGCCTCTGCACCTTCTTTTAGTGTGTGTGTGTGTGTGTGTGTGTGTGTGTGTGTGTGGAAAAAATGAATAAACGTTAGTTAATACCAGTTGATTGACAGTTCAGAGGCGGGCCGAAAGAGCAGAGCTCAACCCCCGCAAGCACAACTAGGTGAAATACACACGTGCGCGCGCGCGAGCTACATGAAAAAAGTCTTTAATTACGTGGACTTTGATCTTTCTTGAAGGGTGGATTGACCAGTGTAGCGCATTGGAAAAATGGCCAGTTTATAAAATATATATGTATATATATATATATATATATATATATATATATATATATATATATATATATATATATATATATATATATATATATATATGTCGTACCTAGTAGCCAGAACTCACTTCTCAGCCTACTATGCGAGGCCCGATTTGCCTAATAAGCCAAGTTTTATTGAATTAATATATTTTCTCTAATTTTTTTCTTATGAAATGATAAACCTACCCATTTCATTATGTATGAAGTCAATTTTTTTTATTGGAGTTAAAATTAACGTAGATATATGACCGAACCTAACCAACCCTACCTAACCTAACCTAACCTAACCTATCTTTATAGGTTAGGTTAGGTTAGGTAGCCGAAAACGTTAGGTTAGGTAGGTTAGGTTGTCGAAAAAACATTAATTCATGAAAACTAGGCTTATTAGGCAAATCGGGCCTTGCATAGTAGGCTGAGAAGTGAGTTCTGGCTACTAGGTACGACATATATATATATATATATATATAATATATATATATATATATATATATATATATATATATATAATGTCGTACCTAGTAGCCAGAACACACTTCTCGGCCTACTATGCAAGGCCCGATTTGCCTAATAGGCCGAATGATGTTCTTGCAATAAATTGTTTCCAATTAGTTTATTTAAATTATTATTATTATATTATATTAAAAACATAAATTATTGACTTAATTGTGTTAGTTTAGGTTAGGTAGGGTTGGTTAGGTTCGGTCATATATCTACGTTAGTTTTAACTCAAATTTAAAAAAAATAATTGATACATAATGAAATGGGCAGATTTATCATTTCATAAGAAAAAAATTGGAAAAATATATAAATTTAGGAAAACTTGGCTTATTAAGCAAATCGGGCCTTGCATAGTAGGCCAAGTACGACGTTCTGGCTACTAGGTACAACATTATATATATATATATATATATATATATATATATATATATATATATATATATATATATATATATATATATATAATATATATATATATAATATAAAACTTTTACCTTCAAATAAATTCCTACTGGACCTTGGGATGATTTAGGTCTGAAGTGTTTGCTAGTGAGAGAGAGAGAGAGAGAGAGAGAGAGAGAGAGAGAGAATATAAACCAATATAACCATATCAACTTATTCGTTAAGAAGTCAAATACATTTTTAGTAACTCAGGTTAGACCTCTTGACCCTTACCCAGTTTCATACAGGTCAACCCCTCTTGGCCTTCCCTACTGCCATCGTGACCTTTGACCATTGCGTTGTGTGGTGGTGGGTCTCTTCGTCACGTTCGTCCTAGAAACGAGTGAATGTTTTAATGGGACTTGTCTATACTGGGAGAAAGGCATAGGCTGTCATTGTTTACAAGGGGGAACTAAACAATAAATATGGTGGAAATAATATTTATAACAATTAAAAAATGTGTTACGATGACATAATTTTCAGAGAAAATAATTTTAGCAGTATTTGTAAAACAATTTAGTATTTGATTAATGTAAATAATAATTTCTGAAATAGAGGGAACACAGAGAGCATATACAGCACACCTTAGACACGATAAAGCACCTAAATTATTGGGATCGTCTCAAAGCTCTCCAAATGTACTCTCTGGAAAGGAGACGAGATATCAAATAATATACACATATCGAAGGTCCCAAATTTGTACAGTAGGATAACATACAGGAAAGAGAGATACGAGAGAAAATACAAAATATAATAGGCTTGGGGAGTAAAATTAATTCCCGGAACTCAATCCAGGTAAACTCAAGGTATTAAAAGTTATTATAAGAAAAATAATCATTTTAATTATAATTGATATAAATATTGGTATAGATTAATACTAAACTAAGCAGGTGAAATACATAATTCGATGAAGGTAACCTAGGATAGTGATAGGCTACGATGAAGGTAGCCTAGGATGGTGATAGGCTACGATGAAGGTAGCCTAGGATGGTGATAGGCTACGATGAAGGTAGCCTAGGATGGTGATAGGCTACGATGAAGGTAGCCTAGGATGGTGATAGGCTACGATGAAGGTAGCCTAGGATGGTGATAGGCTACGATGAAGATAGCCTAGGATGGTGATAGGCTACGATGAAGGTAGCCTAGGATGGTGATAGGCTACGATGAAGGTAGCCTAGGATGGTGATAGGCTACGATGAAGATAGCCTAGGATGGTGATAGGCTACGATGAAGGTAGCCTAGGATGGTGATAGGCTACGATGAAGGTAGCCTAGGATGGTGATAGGCTACGATGAAGGTAACCTAGGATGGTGATAGGCTATGATGAAGGTAACCTAGGATGGTGATAGGCTACGATGAAGGTAGCCTAGGATGGTGATAGGCTACGATGAAGGTAACCTAGGATGGTGATAGGCTACGATGAAGGTAGCCTAGGATGGTGATAGGCTACGATGAAGATAGCCTAGGATGGTGATAGGCTACGATGAAGGTAGCCTAGGATGGTGATAGGCTACGATGAAGGTAGCCTAGGATAGTGATCGGCTACGATGAAGATAGCCTAGGATGGTGATAGGCTACGATGAAGATAGCCTAGGATGGTGATAGGCTACGATGAAGGTAACCTAGGATGGTGATAGGCTACGATGAAGGTAGCCTAGGATGGTGATAGGCTACGATGAAGGTAACCTAGGATGGTGATAGGCTATGATGAAGGTAACCTAGGATGATGATAGGTAATGAAGGTTACCATCCACCATCCTAGGTTACCTATGAAGGTAACCTAGGATGGTGATAGGCTACGATGAAGGTAATCTAGGATGATGATAGTTCATACCTGTCCTCGTACAATGAACGTCGCATTTCGAACGTATGCGTTACATAAGGCCCAAAATTGTCGTACTAGATAATGGAAGCGGCTGGCGAAAGTGACGTACTGTCCCGTTTTCTGTCGTGTGTCCTCTGGTAGGTTAGAGAGAGGACACTTTAAAATGACCGTTTTCTTGACATTGGGAAACCTTAGGAGAACGGGATTTAATATATCACATGCTCTCTGATTTCCGTTCGTCACTTCTACAGAAACTCGAAAAAGTTACGCATTATTTCATCATTTTTTTCGTTTCTCAAACATGCTACCTGTTGTTCCCTGCGTGGGTGGTGGGCATCTCCCAGTGTCCCGTCTTGAGGTACCATGGGAGACGGGACGCAAGTGATGACCCGTTACTTTCCCACCATGGGAGTTGCTCACCTTTAATGGTAAACGCATGGACTGCTGATACGTCAGCCAGGGTACTGGGCACCTCTTGAGTGGTTCATGGTGTACTCTATTGGAGTCCAGGGCATCAAAATAATATTGCCAGTAATCGAATATTCTCATTCTCTCTCTCTCTCTCTCTCTCTCTCTCTCTCTCTCTCTCTCTCTCTCTCTCTCTCTCTCTCTCTCTCTCTCTCTCTCTCTCTCTGTGGGGCACACTTATGGATACTATAATTTAAAGTTGAGGTGAAGGAAGAGATTGCGGGACGTTGTCGAAATTATGTTGAGAACTTGATGTGGCAAGAGTGTGTTGATTCGTTTTTGTTTATAATTATTTGTTTATTAAGGATGTGTTGCCTCTTGCCTTGGGGAGATTATTGGGGGTGAGAACTGACTTGTTAGAGAGGGGGGAGAGCAGACGTGGGGTCTAGAGAGGGAAAGAGAGAGAATGGGGTGCGAGGGAGATTGGGGGGGAGGAAGTAGCGAAACTCGTGAAGATGAATAAGCAGAATTGGAATAATATAAAATAAATGTGAACAGAGAGAGAGGGAAGAAGTGGGGTGTATCCGGGCAAAGCCTAGCGTCTCGCCGAACGATAGAGACATTTGTTAAGTGTCAAATGTTAAGACATATGTTAAATGTTAACTTCCGTTAAGGCATAAGTGGGAGAGTTGAGTGTCTCCCAGCCACGAGGGGACAGGCACTGTGGTCACGTACCTCAGAGCCCTATACACTTTTGTTTGACCTTTTCCCATGAAGTCAAACCTAAAACGTGAACCTGTGATGTAAGGTCATATGAATATTTGGTAGGTAGGGTACCTCCTCCCCCTGGGAAGGTAAACCTCCCCTTCCACACCCCTGGGAAGGTAAACCTCCCCTTCCACCCCCCTGGGAAGGTAAACCTCCCCTTCCACCCCCCTGGGAAGGTAAACCTCTCCTTCCACACCCCAGGGAAGGTAAACCTCCCCTTCCACCCCCCTGGGAAGGTAAACCTCCCCTTCCACCCCCCTGGGAAGGTAATCCTCCCCTTCCACCCCCCTGGGAAGGTAATCCTCCCCACGGCACCAGACTCCATTACCTTGCTCACCACGTCATATTTGCACACAGTAAGGGTTTTTTTTTACTCAAGATGGGCCAAGAATTTGTTGAAACGAAGCCAAGAGAACAGAGATGAAATTTGGAGGGGGAAGAGGAGGCTAAGCAACAAGAGGCATTAAGGTTAAAGATAAATGTACAAACTCGTGATTGCAGCTCGTGCACATATATATCGTGTGAATATATATTCATACGACTTTATATATGACACTAGTCGCGGGGTCACTGAGTGTTTCAAGCGTAGGTTAGACGCACATGAATGAGTTTTGAGTGGGTAGTGAATAGGCGCAGCCTCGTATGGGCCACAATAGGCTTTCTGCTTCCCAATATTGCAGGATCGAGTGTTTTTGATGGCCTTCGGTCGCCTTAAGTTTAGCCACATAGTTTTTGACTCAATTATTTTCCCAGTTTCCTTCACCTGTTTTGCTTTTAAAATATTTGGACTGAAAATTGTATGCAAATTGAACGAGTTTGGAAATTGGCAAAAGATATTTTTAAAACTAGGGACCCAGTTATTTACGGAATTGGTGTTAAACTATCATAATGTTAATGTCATTAAATATGAATAATAACAATACCAATTTTGTTTGCCTATTTTTCATAACTTTTCTTCATTTTAGGCGAAATGAGAAGTGTTCAGCCGTCAATATGTTCATTTATTAACTTCGAGGACCAGGAATCATTAAATATTTACTCAACCGCTTGCGAAACCTGTACATCTTTACTCACTCCATGACGTCTTTGTTTACATTTATTAAACCGTTTCAACCAGTCCTCAACTCAAGTCCATTCCATCCAGCGGTCGACCCCACAGACGCATTCATAAATTTTAACATGTTAATTCCAAACGGGAGTTTTCTCATAAATTAATATTATAATATATATTAACATTGTGGATATATAGGCATATGTTAGGTGTTTAGGTTCTGTTGGCGATTATTTGTATTTGTAGTACGTGGGTGAAGCATTTACAGCGTTGTGGTTCGAACAAAATTCGTCAGTGAAGCACTTGTTCCGGATATGTTCGAACGTCAGCAGTTGTGAGTCGTGTGTAAACAGCTTTTCATTCATAAACAGGGGGTTTGGCGGGTGGATGGAATGAACTTTTGGGTCTTTGTTTGGGGGACGGGCTGACAGTTTATGGGCTCCGAAACACTACGAGGTTGTTTGTAAACTTGGGTTGTAAAGTTTCGAAACTCGTGATCTGTTTGTAAACAAAGCCGCCATGATCGAGGAAAGATGTACACGTTTCGCAAGTGTTAATGTAAATTCTTAATAGATCTTGCTCTGTTGGATGCTATCCCAGTATGATTTTGTACCAGCTACATCTCGGTATGATTCTGTATCATACCTTGGTATGATTCCTTTCTTCCTGTGTTAGCCAGAGTCCAGAATCAACACAGCATCTATCCTGATTGATGGTCTCACACCCTTCCCGTTCCGTGGTGCAATTGATCGTTAAATGACAATTAAGTGTCTGATTAGGCAGTTATTAAGGTATTATGAAGGCTGAGTACTGATAGTTTTATTTAGGCTGGGAACAGGCTAGGCTAGGCTAGGCTAGGCTAGGTTGGGTTAGGTTCGGGTAGGTTAAGTTTTGGTTAATGCAAGGCCGAGTTGATCTTAGGTTTGGTTAGAGGTTTAGTCGGCTTGGTTAGATTTATTGTAGATTATCTTAGTTGCTTACTCAATGGTTACGTTGCGCAAACTTGGCTTATCTTGATTAACTTTGCGCGTTGTAGGAGTTTAGGATTGATGAGAGGGATTTGGTTTGTTTAATTTGAACCTCTGGTTATGATCAACTATATTTTGAGTTGATTGTTTTGATTTGATGAGGTTTGAATTGTTTACTGCCGGAGAACTTGTTGGCAAGACCAGGTGAGAGCCTAATGTGTAGAGTCCTTAAAGGTGATGTTACCGGTTCTTGATCACGGGAGGAAAGTTTGTTAATTAAAACGAAATATTATCTAAATTCTTTCGAATATCA